ATATATATATATATATATATATATATATATATATATATATATATATATATATATATATATATATATATATATATATATATATATATATATATATATATATATTTGTGTGTGTATAAGTATAAGCTAGATGAGAATCTTATTGTTATTGCCACCATGAATTGAGCACTTGAATTGGGCTTCTTAATAAGGCCATCAGCCTACTCTAATTAGTTCATATTATAGATCATTTGATCTATAAATTCATCTATGTAATCTAAGAAAAACAAATTTTACCGATTTATCTTACCACGCGTAAACTGCTTGGCTGGGATGGAGTATAAATAGTATGGTTGGATCGATCGAACCATGTCGCTTCTCTCAAAACCCTCCGGCCGACCGGTTCATCCAACACCGAACTGGGTCACGTAAATCCTCGATTCCAGCTGATGAAATCAAACATGATTCAATGCAATTTAATGCATGACCACATGATTTTATTAAGATCCATGTATTCTATATCCTATTAATTCTCAACGGACAGAATCAAGCCTAAACGGACCCGGTCTATTGAGCCCCAACCGGCTTCCGTGAGCAATTAAATCGATCTGCTTTCTTCCCTGGCGAATCTTTCCTCGACGTGCATGATATGGTATCGAAATAGATATGGCGGTGGCGCCACGATATCACATGAGATCGACATTACTGCGAAAACTTTTCCCCTGGCGGGGAGCGAGTGACTATGGTGAGTGAGTCAGTCAACGCGCGGACTCGTTCCCCCCCTCGCCCCTGTTCAAGAATCCGGTAAAGATCGTTTCTCGTCAGTTGGGTGCGGTGCAGCGCGCCTTGGGATTTCTTGAGGGGAGCGGGGATCCGGTTAGGATCTCCTTCTCCTTATTCTCTGCTCTTCGTCGCTTCTCCTCCCTTCTCGGCACCGGGTATATAAGCGGTGGCGGCCTCTGGGTTCTTGTTCCGCAATGTCGTCGCCGAGAGGAGGAGACAAGGAAGGCGGCCGGGATGGCGAGCGCCAGATCCACGTCTTGGCTGTTGACGACAGCTCCGTCGACCGAGCCGTGATCGCGAAGCTCCTCCGGAGCTCCAAGTACAGAGGTAGGCGCTCTCTTCCCATGGAAAGCTCGATGTCTGATTCCCTCCTTGTGCTGATGGAAGACGCGCACCGGCTTGTTGTTTTGTGACAGTGACGGCCGTGGACAGCGCCAAGAAAGCACTGGAGCTCTTGGGAACGGTGAGTTGGGATGATGATTCAAGAAACTGTGCATGTGTATGTTCTTCTATCTCTTTGATGTTAGGATGATGCTCCTTTCTGATGCAGGAACCAAATGTCAACATGATTATTACGGATTACTCGATGCCGGAGATGACAGGGTACGAGCTCCTCAAAAGAGTCAAGGTGGGAAACAAACCCATTCCGTCGAACAAAAGATAGGCATCAGACTGACAACCTCATGTTTTACTGAAGCTTGACTACTTCGTTGCAGGAATCGCCAACGCTTAGGGAAATCCCGGTGGTGATCATGTCCTCGGAGAACGACCCCGACAAAATCAACAGGTAGCTCATCAGGTTTCGTCTTCTGCCGTCTACAGGCCGAGGTGTTCGATGTTGCTGATGCATTTGTCCATTGGTTCAGATGTTTGGAGGAAGGAGCGGAGGATTTCTTGCTGAAGCCCGTGCGGCCGTCTGATGTGTCCCGCTTGTGCGGTCGGATGCGCTCGTAGGATATACATAGGAAGAAACCTTCTTCGCATGCACACATATACGTGTATTGCAAATTCATTCTTTTTGGGACAACAACAGAATAAAAAGCAAATGCTCCCTTCTTGAATTGACCCATTCACTTTCCGCCACTAAATTTGATCGGAAAATTGATGCACAGATTTAATTTCCTTTCTGCCAGTTGAGATAGCAATTTACGCACCAATATATCTTCTTCCATCGACACCCGTACACACAATCCCCGTTAAAACTGAATATTACACGGTTCATGTTGATTTCCATTTTTGCCATTCGTCGCACAACTATTTGCATATCAGCGGACCCATGCGGAAGCCACCCAACGCCGTGTTCCTCGAATCCAACGCCGAGTGAAACAGCTCATTGACGGCGTTCGATAAGGCGTCTAACCCTTCCGTTAACTCGTTTGTAGCTTTATCCGTCTGCCTGGCGGTTTCTTGTAGGCGCTCAGCCTTCTCCCCATCGCCGTTTGGCTCGATCGCGTCTATGATCTCCGCCAGCTTCCTGACGGCAGCCTTCACCGCCTCCATCTCGGCGACGGATACGTCGCCGGGGAGTTTGTGCGCGACCGCCGCGGCCACCTTGTGGTATTCGTCAGCCCACGTGAAGTCGGCAGGGACGCGGTCCACGGCGCCGGCGATCAGGCCGGAAGCGGCCTCGACGGCGTAAGTCGCCCTGCGGACGTAGGAGAGCTTGCCGCGGGGGGGAACGACCGGGGCGAGGGGCCGGACGAGGTCGCCGGTGAAGGGCTTGATATCGCGGCGGGGGGAGCCTCACCACTCGGCCACGGAGTCCCGCCCCCGCCGCAGCTTCTCGGGGTTCCGGCCGCCGTTGGAGGAGGCAAGGAGGTGGAGTGCGAAGCGGAGGTGGAGGCGACGACGTAGGAGGCGATCGATCTCGGCGGAGGCGGCGTTGCACGCGTCGAGGAGGGCGACGCCTGAGTCGAGGTAGGCGGCGAGGGCGTCGCGGTCGGATGATGAGAGGGCGCCAGTGAGGAGGACGGCGGCATCGGAGAAGGTGACCGCGAGGAGACGGACGGCTTGGGCGAGCCAGGAAAGGGCGACGGACCCGGACGATTCGGGGAGGGGGAGGAGCGACGCGAGGCGGGCAACGAAGGCGGCCTCGAAGGGGTGCGCCAGAGAGGCAGGTTGGGTTTTACGTGGAGAGGAGGGAAGGAAAGAGAAGCCATGGATGGATATCATCTGTACGAGAAACATGGCCTCTGGGCTAAGCGTAGAGTACAGATGAGAGGAAGAGGAAGGGGGGAAGTCGCGGTGAGAAAAAGAAAGGGGGGACAAAGGGAGATAAAGGTGTTTGAGGATATGAACTCGACCGAACAAATTAATTATTGGGAGGGAGGATGATGCAAAGTACACGGTGGGAGGAGGAAGTAGAAGGGGGGAAAGAAAGTAGAGAAATGGAGGGTGACGTATAACTGGTGAAAAACCTTACCTTCCTAAGCCGACCACTTGAGGCGCGCCTCTCGCGGAAGCGTCGTCGGATTGGTCGCTTTTCTAAAGAGCCGAGCGGAGTTCCGTGATAGGTTACGGGGCTCCTTTTTCTGTGGCTGCCGAAGCTAATTAAGATACGACTTGAGTAGGGGACTGCTGCGAGGCAAGAAGGCAGGCCATTTAGAACGTACGACACGTTCTCAGGTAGTGGCTTGAGGGCAGACGCTCTCTTCATCCTGCGCGCGCGCGTGCGATTTTGGCAGCACGCAGGTTGGAAGGCGCGGAACGTCACGCTTTACCGCGCACGCAATTTCGACGGTCGTGGCACCGCAAGGAACGAGTTCCTGCGGGTCACGTGTAGGTCCCCCTTTTATCATCCAATCAACGTGGCGGTTCGTGGGTAATTCTTTGTCTCCCGAGTGGGGCAAAGGATGGATGGAGCGAAGATTTCGGTTTTCCTTCCGAAACTTATTATGACGACATGACGGTTTGACCCACCAGCCTTGGCGTCGCACGAGTTATCGTCCCAACAGGTGGGACCACATGGCTGACTCCAGATGGCGAATATAATGGTCAAAGGGGTAGGTTAAGAGAGTCCATTTCCAGGAAATTTCAAAAGCGGATGGCGATGACGTGGAATGACCAGGGCCTACGTTTCACCCACGCATCAGGTCGTGTTGGTGGTGGATCCGCGTCTGATGTCGCCGCGTTCTTTTGCTTAAAATCCGTGACACGTGCGCTCGTCCTGCGTTTGACTCCAAACAAAAAGCGGAAGTAACGGACAGCGATTACCGTCGTATCGACTAGCTTTGTCTTACGTTTCTCTTTTTCACCTCAGGCACGAGAGTTTGGCAAAAGAAGGCAAATTCTACACCAACACTGCCCCAAATCAATGCCTGACTAACAAGAGAAACATCTACCACTGAGCACTATAATGATTTGATGCATTGGTACCTTCACCACAGAGTCATGGAACGAATCAGAAGGCTCTATGGCCGATGATGCATACAATTAAAGATAGATGCTTCATACCGATGCACACCACGAATATTTCATCGGCAACCGTCACCTTGGTGCTATATGATGCTATATATGATTTATGACCACATTCTCTTACATCTAAGTGGTGACCGACGGCACATCTTCACCGATCATCTCGGAAACGACGGACGAGATTAACGCCGGTCCGCCCGTACGAAGGTTGAAGTACATGTCGACTCGTTGCTTTGTTCCTCTATTTAAACCCGCGATGGGCCGACGTCCCTCTGACTCGATGCATCCCTCTGCATCTCCCTCTTTGTTTGATGACATCGATAACTTTAGATCTTTATCCACTAAAGCTTCATATATTCTTGGCGATATGACAACATTATTTCACGTGGATTAACGTAGACAACATCATCATACAGACATACTAGCGATGAGCATGAGGTGTTAAGGGCATTTGCGTTGGCCTCCTCGGGTGGTCATTTGGGCATAGCAAGGGCAGGTGTCGTAGTTGCCGTAAGTGCCCGGCGGCACGCAGTTGCACCTCTCGCAGCACGTCCCGCACGCCCTCTTGCACAGGTTGAACGTCCACGACGCCCTGCACCTTCTTCACATGCCCCTCGGCAGTCTATACGACCAAGAGTCCAAGTAACTACATTAGAATCTATCACACCTTATCTTCTAAGCAATAGCATCGTCTCAACTTACCCATGGTGGTGTAGTTGAGCAGCGATCTCCCTCCTCGTCCCTCACTCGTCGTTTCGGATTCAAGGACTCGACGCGTCTCGCCGAGACGGAGTGAAAAGAGCAGTAGCAGTAGTAGTAGCGAAGCAATTAGAAGCAGCCGAGGAGCCATGGAAGGAAGAGTTGGCGGCATGACTGAGACAAGTGAGTTGATGACTGTTTATGTTAGCAGGAACGAAGTCCACCAGTCATGTTTACAGAAGAAGGTGGTGAGAGTCGTGGGAGGAAAGATATTGCAGAGTACGTGCGCTGAGACAGGTGCATGCAAGGAAGCAAAGCTGAATGAAATAAGAGTGGTGGGCGGGGGGACTCATCATCGACTCCAGCTAAGTCCATATAACTGTTAGAAATAAAAGATACAATGCTCCTTATTTATACACGATACAATGAAAATGATTTACAAGCGAGAAGCTTCGTGAGAGAGTATACTAGTTGATTAACCGTATGTTCGTGAAAAACACGTAATTGATGTCTGACAACTTATTATCGCACCAAGTGAAAGTCGATGGCGTGTTTTATGCGTGAGTGGAATAATGGATTAGTGCATAGGTAAGTGGCTCCGACATTGTCACAATATATTGTAGGAGTAAAAGTAGAGTTGATGTCAAGTTCCTTAAGTATATTCATGATCCAATTGAGTTCGACAATAGTGGTTACAATGGCATGGTATTCAGTTTTAATTATAGATCGTGCAATTGTCTTTTGCTTCTTTGAACTCCAACTGATTGGAGGAAGATAATATACCCTGATGTGGATATTCTATCATCAAAATTCCCTACCCAATCAGCATCAACAAAGGCATAGAGATGAATAAGGGAGTGTTTGCAGAAAAAAAAGCCATGATTGAGAGTCCCGTGAAGATATCGCAAGATTTGTTTAACTGTAGACCAATGCATAGTAGATGACCGATGCATGAATTGTGATAATTTATTGACCGTAAATGAGATATCTGGACGGATAAGAGATAAGTACTATAAGGAGATAAGTACTTAGCGGTATTGAGTTGGGTCTATAGTAGAGCTTCCATCATATAGTTTGAGTGACTCATTAGTAGATAGAGGGGTTGTAATCACTTTTGCATTATGCATGTTTGTTTTTTATAATAGATCTTCAATATACTTTTTTTATGATAGAAAGAGTTCTAAAGATGTGAAGATGTGTATGTTGTTTTCACTCCCAAAAAGTAGCTCAAGGTTCGTAGATCTTTAAGGGAGAAATGATTTGCCAAATGCCTCAAATTCAAATCATTAAATCATCAAAATTACTTTCAAGAGATACAAAATGACATAAACAACTTTATCAATCTCTTAGTGAAAAATCGATAAGATAGAGAAAAAAAAATTTTCAAGAAAAATACTTTTCTCTTTTTAGTTGTTTCAATTCATATGATTTATTTCATAGAAGCATGCCTTTTTTATTTATGCCAAATAAAAATATTTTA